TATGAGATAAATAAGATAAAATAAATAAAAGAAATATATTATATAAAAGAAATATATGCTATAGATGACATAGATGACATAGAAGACATATATGATTTCTTAGGGATCAACGTCATCTTTTAGATCATCATTATCTATGTCTTCTTTTATGTAACAATATATAAGAAAAAAATAAGAAGTTATACTATCGCTAATAGGCAGAAAAGAGATCAGAAAGACAGAAAAATTTAGAAAAATATATAAAAAAAGGAGCAATATAGTCTAAACTAATTTAGCACTTCACATATATCTGACTAGCAGTAATTATACATAGAGATACCTATTTTCTGACTAGAAAAGGACCCCAGACAATTATATTTAATCTGGTATGTATAAAATGAGATAAATTTTAAAAAAAAATTTTAAAAAGTGGTATGTAAAAAATGGGTTTTTTAGAAAAATGTGGGGGGTAAAATGAGGTAACAAAAAAATAGTAGTAGGATTTTTTATGGTTAAATTTTCGTGATTTTTAAAGTGATATATTATTAATTAGGTAAATTTTCACATTATATATGGTAGATCATTTATTGCATTTATTATAATTAGTCAATTTATTACAATACATAAAAATTCAATTGTTGTCATGTTGTCATATTAATAAAGAGAAAAAAAAAATTAAAAATTTTTGTTAACATGACAACATATATAATTTATTTTACATAAAAAAATATTTTGTTAATAAAATGAAACATATAAAAATAACACTTTCAAAACATCCAAAAGTTAGAAATGTTATTGATCCAAAAACTGTAATATGTATATGTGGTAAAAAAGTTCACCTTGATAGAAACTATGATTCAGATCTTCTTAATCGTTACATTAAAAAAAAAATATGTAAAAGTAATGATGGAAACTCTCAAATTACACAATTTTTTTCAGAACAAAATTCAGAAGCTTCAAAAAAAAGAATACTTTGTATTAGATTAAATGATGAAAAAGTTAAAGTATATCTCTATTGTATTGGTTTTGTGATCACATTTGGTGATGTACCACTTCCAGAAGTTGTAATATGAAAATTGTTTGGTGACAAAATTAAATCATCATTTCATTGGAAAGATTTAAATAAAAAAGAAAATGATCAACTTTTAAATACTTTACAATCACAAGTCAAGTGGATAAATGATAACACAACTTTTTTGCGTTAGAAATACCAAATGTTTAACATATGTTAATGAAATTAACGAAGTTTGTTATTTCTTCTTCTCCAAATACTCTAAACTGGACTCATATTGAAAGTGATCATAATGAAGCTGATTCAGATATAGAAGGAAATCCCAAAAGTCAAGGTATGCATAGTTTAGATGAAGTAGAGTCCTTAACTACTGAAATGGTTTAAGACACAAGTTTAGGCAGGGATATTATTAAAGATGGTGAGTATATTAAAAGCATAGCATAATTTAATATTTTTTCTGAATTTTCGCTAATATTTTTTATTTTTCAGGTAATTGATTCAACTTATGAATATAGTAATTAATTCAACATAAAATTGGTTAAAAAGTTGGTATAAATAGAGTGAGAGATAGTAATAGTAGTAATTTGTAGAAGAAATTTATAATCTTGTTAACATGAGTATATAGCTAGTAGTTATGTTAATTTATAATAATAAATTTAATGATTTGCATCATTTGCAATTAAATATGATATATCAGATAATCAAAAGTCAGCAATTTGATATAAAAATGCACAGTGATTCAATATAAAATACTCAGCAATTCGATATAAAAATGCACAGTGATTCAATATGAAATACTCAGTAATTCAATATAAAAATGCAGTGATTCAATATAAAATACTCAGCAATTTGATATAAAAATACACAGCGATTCGACATAAAATACTCAGAAATTTAATATAAAATGCCCAGTAATTCAATATAAAAATGCTATCTGAATGTTATTTGAAAACTATATAAATGCTAAATTGAAATTTATATAAGTGGCAGTTGAACTATACCAATTGAAAAACCTTTCAGTAACAGAATTCTACTGGCTTTCAGTTATAATTCGAGCTAAAAATGGCTATACGAAAGCTATCTGAATTGGAGTATTTTGACTAGTGTATTGAAAGTGTTAAATACATATCAAACTAATTTGTGCAATATGTATTATTAGTTTAAATAATATTTATATAATAAACTAAATATTATTATTGTATTAGTAATATTTAAAATAATTCTATTTATCAATTATCATATGAATCTATCTAAATACTAATAATCCAACCAGAATCTTGATTTTTAGTTATAATAAATAGGTTATAATATTTTAGGTATCTTTGTAATATTGCTTGAGTGATACTCAAAACTTTTGAATAGTATTATAAAGATCATAATTATGAATAATATTATTTGAAAATTTTATAATCAAAAGAGATAATATTTGCTTAGATTTTATATTACCTTTTGTAACATAAAATTCAATTATTTCTAAAATTTTTGAAGATAATTTTCTATACTTTAAAGCATATAAGGCAATGTCCAGTTACATTTGATGATTATGTTCTCCTACTATACTGATAATAGTAATATTTAAAGCTAACTTTGTTTTTGATAGATTTATATGTTACATATAAGAGATCTTTCTTGAATTACAATTTTATTATTGGAAAAGATCAATAACTTAATTACTTATAGATTTACCAGAATATGTATACTCAAATGTGCGGTAAGTAACTTTATCATTATTATTAGTTGTTATTCTTTTCTGATATAAAGAGAATTCTGCAATTTTTATATAATTGTTGAGATAAGTTTTAGCCAATTTTTATAATAAGAATAAATAAACTATTAAAAGGTTAATTTTTCGTTCTTTATTTATATCAATTTTATCAATAATATTGCTTAAAGAAGTTATTAATACTTCTTTATATTATCTGCACTTCTGAGATTTATTGCTAAGTTAGTTATAGATTCTAATGAATTTGTTTTTAAAAAAGTGAAAAATTTAATTATAGTGATCAATAAATATATATCATTATAGTAATCATCTATAAATTATTAAAATAACCTTACTATATATATTTATCTTTCATATTTAATATTCTTTGCAAATTAATTGTAAAAAAATAATAATAAAAAAAAAAGTAAGTGTGGGAAAATTTAAAGTTTTAGAATTCATATTTTTGATATCAAAATATAAATTAACATAACTAAATAATTATATTTTTACATTATATATTTTGTATTCTATGATAGCTAAATTATGTAATTATTTATCATCACATATTTCATATTTACAATGATGTTACTATAAATTCATAATATAAAATTTGATAATAATCACGTGATGCGATAACAAACACCATAGGTTATTTTAAGTTTATTTCTTCTATAAATATTTAATAATATTGATTTTATATAATTTAATAATTTATATCAGAATTTTTTAATTAGTAAAATTTTAAGCATAGAAAATTTTTATAAGCAAAGTAATAATTAATATTAAATTCTAATTCTTTATTATAATAATTCTAATAAGTTAAATTTATTAAAAATTAATTAGTAGATCTGAAAATATTATATAGTAATCTTTTAATTAATCAAATTTTAACTAATAATTAAATATTAATAAATATATTATATTTATTAAAATTTGATTAATATTTAACTGTAGCTAAGATTTTTTAATTAAATTTACCAAATGATTAATAAATAAACTTTAATCAAACAGCCAAAAGTTCAATATTAATTTTAACTAATTTTATATAATATTTTATTAATTATTATACATATGTATTTTGATGTTTTGATATTTGCTTGCTTAAATTTTAAGTTAATACATGGTTGATGGTATTTTATAATATTAACATATTGTATAATTTACAAAAGTTTATAGTCAAAGTATTTTGTAAATTTATATT